ACACACACACATACACACACACACACACACACACACACAGAGTCTCCCTCCACCTTCTAGACGTGGAGAGGGCCTGCTCCTTCTCCTTCGTCGCTCAGCAACTCAGAGAAGTTACATTCTCCTCCTCCGATTCTTCGTTCCCAATTGCTCAGCCATCCCAAAACCTGATGCATTGACCAAACGTCGCTCGGCTAGCGCCTGGGCTTACCGAAGACCTYGCTCAGCGATGCAAACACGTGMGAAGAGTAGCTTATCGGCAGTTCCATGAGGACTGCCGCATCCAAGAGAGAATGTAGCAAGASAGATTGAGCCAACGCCACAACCTGCTCRAGCAAGATTGATTTGCGGAGAYGAGCGAGAATCGGGCGCCGGGACATGAAGCGCGCTGAGGAAGACACATGAATTTGATAGAATCAGGCGGCGGCAAGTTGAAGGGAGAATGAAGAGAGAGGAGAGGAGGAACCAGGATGCACTCAAGCACACATACACACACTCAAGCACACGGCCTGCCACGAGTCCACCGCCACCGCCACCGCCACCAACTCCTCGCGGTGGTGGACGGCACAGGCGCAGGCGCTGCAGTCTGCCTCGTTCACACACCGACCCGACTGACCAGCCAACCACTCCTTCCACCCACCATTCCTCTCTCTCTCTCTCTCTCTCGCTCTAACGGGTTACAAAATGTGATAAAGAAGGAAGTTTACGTATTTTTAGAGTCTGGCCGCTCCATCGATCACACATCATCGTCTTCAATTAGCGATCAGAGTCATTATAGGACACAACCTCGCAAATACGCGCCCCTGCCCTTTCTCTCTCTCTGCCTTTGTGACCTCACCCTGTCCGTCTTCGCTCGTGCCCGCCCACGCACCAGCCCCCGCCCCCGCGCGCGCGCGCTATACTGCACGCCCTCTGTTCCCGTCCCGCCCGCCTCCGCTCTTCACTACCACTCTCTACTACTGCTACGTGTGTAATGGAGGCATACGAAACTTTCTTTCCTCGGGGGCTACTGTAGGTCCCTCTTACACGAATTAAGCGATATCGACCGTAGATAGCAAAGATCAACGGCCGAAATCTCCTGAGTTGCGCAAGAGGGACCTTGCCCCGCCCGGGCCCCTGCAAGGGTTGACGAGGGCGTGCGGCCCGACGAGCGGAGCTCCGGTCATTGTGCCGCGCTGCCAGCCTTGGCGCGCTTTCCGCCTCCGGGAGCAGCGGCGGGGCCTCAGATTGTCCGAACACAAGTACCTCCTCCTTCATGGACTGTGGGGCCGTATCCGTTACATCTGCGTACAGGGAAATCCCGGGATAGCAAATACAGCGCCCTTGTCGCTACTTGCCTGGGAGGAGTACCAGATTCGACAAGTCGACTGCTCTTCACTACGCTCCATTCCACTACGTTTTTGAAGTAGATCAAGCGGCTCTTGTTGTTGTCCTCTCTCTCTCTCTCTCTGTGTGGCCCTCTCTCTCTCGTTTTAGCTGTGTCTCGGCAAAGAGATCGTCATTCCCCGTTTCCCATTTCACTTTTCCTTTTTGTCTTCCACCGCGCGTATTTTCCCTTACACCGCGCGTAATGTGTGTTTCTTACCCACCTCAGGGCATACTCATACTACCGTAGCGCTTTTTTTTTACTGATTTCTCTCTGGACGGAAATGCGGCCAAATTCATACAGAGACTGCCGCAAACGCCGTCAGATACGTTTGCGATAGTACTAGTATGACTACAGGCCTTAGAAGCAAAGGCGGGAGCGCGATGGGGCGCCAGTAAGGGTAAGGGCCTCGTTGGGGCCTCGTCGCACTACTCGCCATCCGCCAACATTTTGATTGCATGTGGACAACACGCTTTCCAGATGCATTCGAAATCTTGGCGGATGGCGAGTAGTGTAACCAGGGGCTTGGCGGATGGCGAGTAGTGTTGCAACCAGGGGCTTGCACTACTCGCCATCCGCCAACATTTTGATTGCATATGGACACACATTTGTCCATATGCATTCGAAATCTTGGCGGATGGCTAGTAGTGCAACTAGTAGGGCCTCAGAGGTCGAGCAGGAGGAGGAGGGGGCGGGAGAGCGGTGAAAATGAAAATGAAAACGCGGGCTGAGGGCCTCGCCACCCCGCTCTCGAAATGTGAAAACGACAAAACTCTGCTGGTCGCATCTGGCCTTGTTCTGGCGCCACGTTCATTCTCATTTTGCACATTTCGAGAGTTGAAAAAAAAACAAAAAACAAAAAAAAAAGATTTTGAAGGCTGGGACAGGGCCCCGACATCCGACAGCCGACAGCTACCTTACTCTGCCCGCCTCACCATTTGCCCACGCGGCCCCCTTTCCTCTCTCGGCGGGTGGCTGGCTTTACTGGGGAACGGCACAACCGGCGCGGTTTATCCAAACTCGGCAAACAAATCGCACAACACATCATTGCACGTGCCGACTGCACTCGGCGGGAGGGAGGCTTGCACAAAATGGAAATGGAAATGGAAATGGAAGTGATGTCCCGCCATCCTCCTCTTTTCGATTCTGATGAACCTGGCCATCGGGAGGGACCACATAAGGCCCACATAACGAAACAAACAAAAAGCCTACCCGCCTCCACTCGGCGGGAGGGAGGCTTGCACAAAATGGAAATGGGAGTGATGTCCCGCCATCCTCCTTTTTTTGATTCTGATGAACCTGGCCCAAGGAAGGCCCACATAACGAAACAAAAAAAAAGAAAAAAAAAAAAAAACAACTACCCGCCTAAAACCAATAGACCGGGGGCCAAGTCCCACTACAGGTGCGGGCCTGACTCCTCGGCCCTGGTTAGGTCCGCGGGAGGACCGATGCTTAAATTTCAAGGGCAAGGAGGAGACAGTTTAGAAGCTGAGTCGTTTTAGACTCGGGGAGCCATACAGACTCTGTGTACTGTACCATTGTTTAGGTTCGGCGTAGGTAGGCTCTCTCTGTGAGTTGCGTAGAGGTCTGTTCTTGTGAATTGTCCTAAATTTTGTACTTTTGAAACATAATGGTCCCCCTCATTTACTCCCTTCTTCTCCCCTTCTTCCCCTTTCCTCATACTCATCAGACGGGGCTTGGCCCACCTTCCGTTCGAAGGATATTGAGTAAAGATAAAGAGTAAAGAAGTGTTCTTGCCTATGATAGATTAGCGGTCTATTTGGAATTCCTAACGCTTGATGCTTTTAAGCTAAACCGGCTGATGCTGCCGGGGGCTTCAGTCTTCAAATTGATGTGAAAAAGAAAAAAAAAAGAGGAGAAAGAGATTTTGAAGTCCCAATACAGGTAGCAGCGTTGAGTTTCCTCAGCGCCCGAATCTGGTGGTGTTTGTGGAAACGTGCAGAAATGGCATTGAGTTTCGTCAACCGCACATCCCCACAAACACGTCCAGATTCAGGCTTTGACGACACTCCACGCTGCTAGTGGAACCTGGCCCCCGGCTTGCGCGTGTTCATAACTTTCAGCCATGGATCTTCGTAATCCACGGTGCGGTCAACAACGAGGAACACATAAGAAAGTCCGAAAAACAACAACAACAACAACAACAACAACGAGGAACCAGCTCAAGTGGGACCCGATATCAAGTCCCAGTTTTGGAGCACGGCTGCGTCCCTGCCGTCCGATCTAAACATCTGATGGCGATGGGCCTCCTTCCACTACTCGTTTATTTTTGTTTTTGTTTTTTGGGGGAAAATATACTACATTCTTTTTTTTCTTTTTTTTTTTGAAAATATATTATATATTACATTCATTACAAAGGTGATGGGACGAGGCCGGGGACCTCACACACAATTCAACCCGGGGGCAAGGTCCCACTTACACGAATTAAGCCCGTAGATAGCAAAGATCAACGGCCAGAATCTCTCAATCCGTCCAAAGTGGGACTTTGCCCCGGGGCCATGTCCCACTTCTCGAGGTTTTATATTTCTGGTTTCGAGTGTACATGGCTCCTTGCCATTCATCCGATCTGAAAATCTCACGGCCCTACTTTAGTGTGACCGCGTTGGAAAATAAAATACATGAGACATAAACTAAACCCCCGGTATTGGGTCACGGTCATTACAAAGGAGTTATCCTGGCAGCCTTAGCCAGTTTCGCTACTCTCAACTGGAAAACGCGTCCAGTTTCCCATTCTTTACGAAAATTTACTTTCCAGACGTAATCTTGAAAAAAAAAAAAAAAAAAAAAAAAAAAAAACGTAATCTCGAAGCACAGTAAGAAAGGGGGGGAACCAGGGGCAAGGTCCCACTTGTGCAAATTAGGAGATTTCGGCCGTTGATCTTTGCTATCTACGGTCGATATCTCATAATTCGTGCAAGAAGGACCTAACCCC